CCCGGGAATTCATCTGCGCTGACCCCTGCTCCTCCATAACCCCGTGCCCCAGCTCCCTGGGAACTCAGGTCCCCTGTCCCCGGGTCCTCCGCCATCCAGTACCCTGGCAACCCGGGAATTTAGTACTCCTCCACCCCGGGAACTCGGCTCCGCTGATCCCGGCTCACGGGGAACTCAGCACTCCGTCATCCCGGGAATTCATCTCCACTGACCCCATCTCCTTGAAAACCTCGTACCACAGCTCCATGGGAACTCAGCTCTGCTGACCCCGGCTCCTCCATAACCCAGTACCCCAGCTTCCTGGGGATTCATCTCCACCGACCCCAGCTCCTCCATAACCCGGTAGCCCAGCTCCCCGGGCACTCAGTGCTCAGCTCCCCTGGAACTCACCTCTGCTGACCCCATAACCAGGTACACCGGCTCCCCAGGAGCTCCCATCCACAGCACTCCGGCTTCCCGATAGCTCCCTACTCCCGGCACCCCGGCACCGACCATACCTTGGCTCCCTGGTGCTCCAGCTCCCTCTTAGCCCCGTTCCTCGGGCTCCCACAACTGCATCCCCATCTTCCCTACTCCTTGTGCCCCGGAGCCCCCAGCTAACCCCGGCTGTCCCAGCTCCACAGCTGCTGTGCCCACCGGCTCCCCGGCCCCCGGGCTCCCGGGCCCCCTGGAACCGAGGCCATGGCGTTCATGGTGAAGAGCATGGTGGGGGGGCAGCTGAAGAACCTGACGGGGGGCCTTGGCGGCGAGGAGAAGAGTGAGGGCGAGAAGTCTCCGGCCGAGGCACAGGGCATGACCCGTGAGGAGTACGAGGAATATCAACGGCAGCTGGTGGAGGAGAAGTGAGTGCGACCGGCACAGGGATGAAGGAAGGGGGTGCTCCTGCTGCAGTCCCCTATCCCATATATGGGAGCTGGGGAGAGCCAGTACCGGGGACAGCAGGACCGTGAGGGAGTTTAATGAGCCCCCTAATCCCTTAATCCGCTTCCTTGCCCGGGAGATGGGATTGTTTTCTCCTTTCAGGCTGCGCTGGGGGGAGGAAACTGTGGGGACTTTTCAGAGACAATGGGGGATGCTGAGGTTGGGGGGATGTGCAAACCCAAGGACGGGGGGCACAGGCTGTTGGTAACAGCCCTGTGTGGTTCACAGGATGGAGAGAGATGCCCAGTTTGCCCAGCGCAAGGCGGAGAGAGCCACGGTCAGGTCCCACTTCCGAGACAAGTACAGGCTCCCCAAGGTACGGTTGTGCTGGAAACAGGGTGGGGAGGAGAGGAGAGGGCACATGGGGAGTCAAAGCCCAAATGCAAAACATCCTTCTCCCCGTATTTTGGCCCCTTTCCATCATCCCTGAACACCGCAGACCACCAGACCCTGACTTGATCCCCCTCTGCCCCACTTTTGTTCCCTAAATCCAGTTGGATGAGGGAAAGCCACCTTCACCCCAGACTCCCTGGAGCTGGGAGCAGAGCCAGGATTACACTTTCCTGGCTGGATTAGCCAGCTTCTCTCCCCAGATTATTTGGCAAATGTCTCCCACCTAGACTCCAGTTTTGGAACTTCTGCCTAATGAACAATTCACTAAAAACAACTTAATCAAGGGAAAATTCAACCATTCTTAGAATTACTACAAGCTCTTCTCCCTCCAAATCCACCCTTTATTCAGAAAGAGTCTCTCAGCAGTGAATACTCCAAATTGGAGCCGGGCTAATATTAGTTCCGAAGGGCCAGCTAAGCCAAGTGAGATTGTTCTGATTGTTTGGTGTTGTTCAGCCAGCCTGGATTCACACCCCCCTGCTTCCCATTCCCTTTTATCACCAGGAAATAAACAGCCAGAGAATTTCTTTTTCCTCCTGCCGAAAGCCAGAAAAGGCAGAGAAAGAAAAGATGGAGATTTTTTTTATTCTCCAGGGAAAATAGGGGTTTGTTTGGAGCTGGCCCCCACAATCCTTTCTCTGTTTTCTCATGCTTGAAATGTCCCTTCTCATCTTTTGACAAGTTTCTTCTGCTTATTCCTGATCCCGCTTGGCAGCTGGGCTGCCTCATCCAGAGTCTCCCCATGGCTCTTGGCGCAGAGCTCATCCCAATTGCCGGTGGGAGCAGTCGTTAGGCATACGTGTAGCTTAATTAGGTGCCTAAACCCCCCACAGTGCATGCTGAAAACCAGTTTATACTGGTGCTGTGCATGGGTTTTCATCTCAGCTCTTGCTGTGAGCGCCCAGGCTCAGCTCAGCTATGTCCCCTCTGGATCAGCATCCCAGACTCAGCCCCAGGGACCTGCCCACACGGACCTTAAAATAGGAAGACAGCCCAAAGCCCCTGCTGTGACATGCCCCCTTCCCACTGTGACGTCCCCCCTCCTGACTCTCTCCCGGCCCGTTCCAGAATGAAACGGATGACAACCAGATCCAGCTGGTAGGAGGTGACGTGGAGCTGCCCAAAGAGCTGGCCAAGATGATCGAGCAGGACAACGAGGAGGAGGAAGAGAAGAACTCGGTTATCGGTCAGCTCAGCAACATCCAGAACCTGGACCTTGATTCCTTGAAGGACAAAGCTTCGGCCACGCTAGAGGACCTGAAGCAATCAGCGGAAAAATGCGCCGTGATGTAACGGGGCCGGTGTGACAGTGGGGGAGCAGGGAGGGGATGCAGCGAAGGGGCTGACGGGGGCTGCTGCCAGCGGCAGGGACCCCACCAGTGTTGTCACCCTTGCCGTGTGTCACTCGGGTCCTCCTGAACCGTGTGACCCCTTGAGTCCCCAACCCAGGTGTTCCTGCTGTGTGGTGTTTGTTTTGTTCTCTGGTCTGAGGTTAGAGCAAAGAGCCAGCATGTCCCCCCTGTATCCCAATGCCTCCTCCTGTGCCCATGGCAGCGGATGTCCGTAGCCAGAGCCGGGGCAGTAGCAAGGAAGGAAAATGACCTTGGAGTGTTATTGGCCCATGTCAGTGTGGGAAGGACCGTGTGTGGTGGCCATATGCCATGTCTCTGCCTCCACATTTCCACCCAACCTCCTAGAAATGACTGGGAGGCTCCAATTTGCTTTGCAAGGACGAGGCATGGTGCAGAACACCCTCCTTCCCTGCATCCCGTACCCATCACACGAGAAATAACATCCCGTCCGTGCAAGGAACACCAACCCCCTCTGCCCTTGAGGGCTCCTCTAAAGGAGCCAGCCAGGAAGGACCTGCTATATAACCTGCTATATGATCCCATTTATCCCTGTGGGAAGGGGGGTGTTGAGGACCAGAGGGCTGAAGCCTGAATTAACACCAGAGAAGAAATAAAACTCTCCCTGGTGCTCAGCTGAGCCCATACCAGCCCTTCCCTGGAGCAGTGGTGTACACCATCCCTCTCCTGGGGTGGGATCCACTTCTGACCTTGTTCCTTCCAGGAGAAGAACAAAGTGATAAGGGAAGATCTCCTTCTCCTCCCCCTCCATCGTGCTGTAGCTGTGCGCTGTGCTCGGTTGAGTGTCCCTCCACCTCCTGTGCTATCCCCATGCCATGGTACTGTTATAACCGGTGGAATAAATACCAGGAGATGTCTATGCATTTATTTTTCTCCTCAAGCTCTATTCTCCTGATCAAGGTTTTGGGGTGCCCCTTTACAGAGCAAGGACGGGAGCTCGAGGGAAAAGCATCCCAAAGAAAGCATCACTTCTGGTTGTGGTCACATTTGGGACCAAAGGGATGCTACAAGTGGCTTGTTGTTGGCAGTTGGGTTTAAAAGCAAACAAAATTCCCATTTTTTCACAGGTTTTTGGCTATTTTAATATAAAACCTTCAGAACACTCAGTCTCGGACACTGTGGGATGTCTGCAGTGCTGCTCTGAGCAAGGACACATCTCTGCAGGGATGAGCCCGTGATAAGTATAGGTGTGACTCCCAGGCGAAACAGCTCCAGCCAGATGGCATCCCGGCAGGCAGTGGGCTCCTGCGGCGAGGCTTCCTAGAAAAACCTGGCATGAGCTAGGAATTTATCACTCCAAATCCCGAGGGAGCTGATTAACTGCACTTTGGTTTTGTGGGGGAGGTGGGTCATCCAGGAAAACACAGGAGAGGGTGCTGGGGAGCTGATATTGTTGTCGTTATTATTAGTCATCATCATCATTATTGTTGTTATTATTAATATTATTAAGGATGCTGGATCAGGCCATGGCTGGGGCTGCTGGGCCAAGAGATTCCTTTCTGTCCCCAGCTCCCTGTTAAGACTCTGCCAGGGCCAGGTAATTCTGGGAAACTCCTGATCTCCACCCCTGAGAGGACAGATAGACAAAGGCAACTCAGGTGTGATGCTCTGGCTGTGAGGACATACATCCTCATGACACTCCAGCCCCAAGGATCAGGAGACCTGCCAGCAGTTCTGGGGACATCTGCCCCCAGGGATCCCAAATCCAGCCCCACACAGCACTGGGAGCAGGGGAAAAATGAGAGGGAAGATTGGCAGGAGCAGCTTTAGCTCTGAAAGGAGATCATACCTGATGAGGATCAGCCCAAGCTGATCTAATCCCCCATCAGGAAAGGGATAGCAGAAAGCAGGCAAGGACTGAGCTGAGCCCTTGGCATTTAAATCCCAGGCTGATGGCGAGGCATGATCAATAAACATCACAGGGGAGAGTGGGATCCCGACCAGAGCAGGGAATGTTGGGGCTGGGGGATGCAGTCTTTCCGTTCATCCCACTCAAAACCAGCCAGGATTCTCTCCTCCACCTTTTCCTCCGCCCCCCTTCCCCTCTCCTCCATCCCCTCTCCTCCAGCCCTGCTCCGTGCTCTCCCCCGGCCCACGTGCCACCCCGCAAAGGCCGCGTGAAGCTCAGTGGGTTTATTTTAGGAGGCACCATGACCCCCAGGCATGTGAAAAGCAAAGCAGCACACGCTCCCCCCCTGCCTGGCTCCGCGAGACGTGTTAGGCTTCAGCAAAGTGTTCCCAGCAAAGCGTTCAAAGCACTGGGAGCTCCGAGGATGCTCCGATCTCGCATCCCTGCTCCCATGGCTGGATCGCTGCCTCTGCCGGGGCGGAGAGGTGGAGATGCACGGAGAGGAGTTTGGGATGGCGGGAGCAGGGGCAGGCCTTTTCCTTGCCCATCAAGAGATCCATCCCAGCTTCCAGTGTTCCCTGCTGCCGGATCCCTGAGCATCCCTGCAGCCGAATATCCTGGCTGCCTCCATGCCATACAACTGCTCCAGGCATCAACACACAGACTAAAAAACTTAAAGCAAAGAATTAGCATGGATTAAAGCACAAAATGTAATTCTTCTCTTCTACACTCCCTGTATAATTCCCTCACCTATGGGGCCAGGATTGGGATGGATTTGTCCAAGTGAGCCCTTGCTGGCTGCTGAAGGATGCAGCAGGGAATTCTGCTGATAAAACAAAATAAATTTTACTGATCAAATAACATAAATTTTACTGACAGAACTCCTGCCCTCCTGCACCAGCCCCTTCCTTACCTGGCCACAGGATCTTCCTCCTTCCTGCTGTGGAGCCTGGGATGAATAAGTGGCTTCCCCAATAGATTAAGCATTAAATGAGCAATTGTTAAAGTGCGGAAAAAATTGAGCCACCATGGAAGGCTGGGGGAACGTTCCTTCTTTTTGCAGGCAATTAAACTTCCCTGTGAGCTGCTGCGGGAAGGGATGGTCCCATCCATCCAACTGCTGCTGGTCCAGCTACTGGGATTAATCCAGATTAAAGAGCCCTGGGAAAACCCAGGGTTGGTTCCACACACTGACCCAGCTCACTCCAACCCGCTGAGTATCTGAACTCACATCAACCCACGGGCTGGCACCATGAGTGTGACAACCCATCTGCCACCCCCGTGTCCCTCTTCGAGTAACAATCTGGCCCCAAGAGCCACGCCATGAGGGTTGGAAGAGCCCTTTTGGAGAGCTGGGTGATGGCATGGATGGGACCAGAGCACGGCAGCGCTTGCTCCTCCCTGTGAAGCTGAAGCCACGCTGAGTGACAGAGGCCACACTGCCAGGCTGGGGACTGCTCCCTTCCTGCCACTTCCCCTCCGGTCCAGGCGGTGACATTTGGGTGGCGCTCGGCCGAAAAGCCCTGATGCAGAAGAGACTCACATCCACCCCAACACGAAGCCAGGGCACCCCAAGCTCCATCACCCCTGGGGGAGCATCCGGAGCCTCGTCCTGCCTCCAAAGGCTCCGGAATCAGCCGCGCATAAAGGCAGATGCGATTATCCGCGCCGGCTGCTGCAGCCAGCCGGTGCAGCCATCCCCAGTGGCTCCGTGCTAGCCCCAGGCCTGGGGGAGGACACGGGGTTGGAAAGCTCTTTAAAGCCTTGGGATATAATCTCTGCTCGGAATAATAAAAACATATAAAAACGCCTTGTCGCATCTGCCCAGGAAGCTCTTCCCCGGCTTGGGCACGGAGCAGCCAGCACAGGGGCAGGATCTGGGGAGAAGGCTGTCTGAGGAAGAGCTTGGCTGGGGTCATGGCTCAGAATATCCTTAGAACCCCCCCAAAAGAATCCCCCCCATCAATTGCTCCAGCTCCTCTGCCTTCCCTCCCGGCCCAGCCCGGTCCTTCTTCACCCACCACAAAACTCCATTGGAGAAAACAAGATTTTACGTAACAGCTCGTGTCGTTCTGCTCTGTGTTTTCCATGCACACAAAAAATAAAAAGATGGGAAGTGAAAACAAGGTCAAACCTTGCTTTGGCTGCCTCGTGTCCCCAGGGAGCACGGGGAAGGAGGGCACCACTGGAGCAGAGGAGAGCACACCCTGGCTCTGCTCCTGGGGGACAGGGATGAGGGTCCCCAGCCCTCCTCGATGGCTCCAGGATCCCAAGCTGGCTCTGGGTCCTGGGCTTGGCTGGAGACCCGCCTAGGGCTCAAATCACAAACCTGAGAGCAGAGGAGGTGCAGAAACCAAAATTAGCATTTATTAAAGACAATAAATTACATTCCCTTGAGATACAGAAGATTTTGAGACGAGTCCCTCGTTTTGCAGGACAGGCAGACCTCAGCACCCCTGACAAGTGATTGCCGGAAATATGGTTTGGATCTTGGGGTTTCAGAGCCCTGAGGAGTGGAGCAGAGCATGCAGGATGCTGAGGATGTCTGCCCCTGAAGGTGGTTGATTCCTGCTCATGTCAGACTCAGTCGGTCCCTGCTGAACACTGCTCACACCCATGACAATGATGATGCAGTCAGTACCTGCCAGACTCCAGGTCTGGAAACAAAAAGCCTCATTCCCAATGCTCCAGCAGTGAGAGAGGGAGGTATGGCTGGGCTGGGACAGTGCAAGGGGGTGCTGGAGGCTGGATGAGCCGTGGTGGGTACAGAGGTAGAATGCTGGGTGAGGAAGGCACAGCAGAGCACCCCTGACCACCCTGAGCTCCCGGCTGGGATCTGTGGACCTGGGCTGTGCAGATGCTCCCCCAGAATTTGGGAGGTGGAAGAAACACCCAGCCAAAAAATCAGAGTGGATATTCTGCTGGAGCCCGGTGCCAGGATAAAAATACCCATCCCGTGGCAGCCAGCGGAGGGAATTAGAGTGGAATAACCCGCCCGCCGTGGAAGGGGAGGCTGCAGCAGCAGACGGTCGAGGCAGGGCTAGGAGGGAAACGAGCCCAGTGCCTGGGAGAGGAGGCAGATGGCCCTGTGGACCCCCCGGGGATGGGAGCCCGAGGGTGACTTCTGAGGCGTTACCCTGATGCGGTGGTGGGGACGGAAGCCTCATCTTTCCGACGGCATCTCTGCACAGGGCAGTGAGCAGCATCCACTGGCCGGCTCCTGGGAATCACTGCAAGGTACAGGCTGTGCCGGGGGACAGAGGGGACTCACCTGGCTGCACACACCACTGTCACCCTGCCCAGGTGGGCTCCCAGACTTGGATGACCCCATGCTGGGGGGAGATGATGGTGCAGGGGGTCGGGATCACCAATGGCTGTGGCAGCTGGAGGGATATTCCCCGCCAATCCCCTCTGAAAAGGGGGACTCACCGCTCCGGATGGGCTCTGCCAGCGCCTCCTTGCCCACGGACTGTGCCTGCCGCACCTGCCAAGGGAGAGGAGAGTTTCCTGGCCTGCATCCTCGCTCAGCTCCAGACCCACACCAAACTACCATACCTTGATCTGATCCTTCAGGTACTCAGCTCGGGCCATCAGCATCTGGATCTGACAGAGAGAGAGAGATGACACGGTCTCTTTGGAGCCAGGTCAAGGGGGACAGGCGGAGGTCCCATGGCTGGCACTCACCTCCGCATGGAGCAGCTCCCGTCGCCGCCCTGCTGGCTCCGCTGCAGAGGAAAGAGGGATGTGCCACTGGACGAGGCATGAGAGCAGGATCCACCCCTGCCCTCCAGCCCCCACCACAGCCCCAACTCACCAGCCAGGAGGAGCAGCAGCTCCCCCAGACTCTGCTGGTACAGCTCCAGGGCGTCACCATCATCCCCGCCTTCGTCCTCCTGCAAGAGATCCCAGGAGCTGGCTGCAGCTGGGGGGATCCATCAGCTCCCTCCCCACCAGGTTTGCTCCTTCCCCTTCCACTTGAGGGAAGAGGGGGCCCGCCAAACCCACCCCTACTTGGCCATGCAGCTGAAGCCACTTTCCAGTCGCTGCACAGAGCCGAGGTTGTTCCTTTGGCCATCTCTGCAAGGGAGACATGGCAATGAGGATTGCCCAAAACATTCACCCTTCAGCCCAAAACCCGACCAGTGCCCCCTGACAGCTCCAACACTGGGGGATCCCCAAAAATCCACCACCTTTAAGGAGCTCTCTAGTTGGGTTCCCTTTCTCCAGTAGGTTCTTGTTGCTGGAGTTGACCAAAGCCTTCAGCTCCTCTGCTCGGGAGATGTACTGCCCCATCTGCACACATTTGGGGGGTGAGGGGATGTCACGGGGGACAGAGAATGGGGGTGCAGCCCCCCACCTTCCCGGGGGTTTTTGGCTCACCTTGGCCCGGATGGCTTCTCTCCGCCGTGCATCGCTTTCATCTGCGGGGGAAGGCGGCCAAACACTGGGGTGGGTGGGCTGAAAACTGACCTCACCCGGGGTGCTGCCCCCCAAAACACACCCAGGGCACACACAGCCCCCAACGGGGACTCACAGTGCAGTGCTGGCACAAAATACTCCAGGGCTTTGCAGTAGAGGGAGAGGGCAGCGCTGGCATCCCTCTCTTGATCCTTCCTCACTGCCTCCACCACCAGGTCAGTCTGGGGGACACAGGGTGGGGCTCAGGGCTCAGCCCCATCATATTCCCAGGGTGCAGCCCCCCAGCTCCCTGCTCACCGCCTTGCCCAGGCTCTCAGGGCCTGGGACATGCTCCATGTCCACAAAGGGGTGGGCAAAGAAGCGCTCGAAGGAGATGCGCTTCAGAGGGTCCCTCTCCAAGAGTTGTCCCAAGAGATCCCGGCATTCTGGGGAGAGCTGGGGTCGGCTGGGAAGCTGGGGAGGGAAGGGGCTGAGACCACTGACTGCTGTGGGAACCCATCCCATCCCATCCCATCCCATTCCCCATTACCTTCACAACCCAGTCACTGCGAATCTTCTCCTCCAGCTCGGCGAAGGAGTGAGAAGCAAAGGGTGGCTCCCCAAAAAGCGCTTCTGCAGGAGGAGAAGGAGAATTGGGGGGAGCTGGAGAGGGAGAAACCTGCCCTGAGTGGACTCCCGAGGAGATAAAAGCCAAAGCCCACCGTAAAGGATGACGCCCACCGACCACAGGTCCGCGCGGGCATCGTACTGCTGGCGACACACCATCTCAGGGGCCATGTAGAGGGGGGAGCCCCGCAGGACGTGCTGCTCATCCCACGGCGACATGTACTGTGCAAAGCCAAAATCTGGCAGGGAAAGAGCTCATGGAGGGACAAGGAGAAAGAATTCTCCCTCACCAGCCCCTCCCAGGGAGCTGCTCTGACCTGCCAGCTTCAGCTGGGGGTTCTCCGGCGCGCTCAGGAGGATGTTCTGTGGCTTGAGGTCCAGGTGGGAGATGTTGCGGTCGTGGAGGAACTTCAGGGCGCAGGCTGGGCGGGTGGATGGGCACATGGCAGTGTGGTCCTGCCCCAAAAAACCCCCAGGGAGGGTCCCCAGCAGGCAGTGCGTCCTTACCGAGCTGCTGCAGGAAGATGCGTGCCACCTTCTCAGGGAGGATCCTGCGCATCCGGATGAAGCGGGAGAGGTCGCCCCCAGCACAGAACTCCATGATCAGATAGATGTGGTCGCTGTCCCACTGCAAGGCAATAAGACCTCATCATGCCACACCAGCCAGTTCCACCCACACGGGTTTGCCTGGACCAGTTTGCCCAGTTGCTGCCACCGAGCAACACTGATACACCCCTGGGAAGCCGGGATGGACCCAAGCCAGAGCAGTTTTGGCTCAGAGTGCCCCCCAGGAAGCCCCCAGCCCACCTGGAAGTCCTTGAGCTCCACGATGTGCGGGTGGCGGATGTTCTTGAGGATCTCGATCTCCGTCAGCAGGTTCTCCACGGACGCTCGGTTCAGACTCCTCCTGCTCACACACTTGATGGCTACCACTTCACGCACGTCCCTCTGCCAAGGACGGGGGTAACCCTGCAGCCCCCCACCCAAACAGCCATCCTGGGGTGCTCCCCCAGTCTGCCAGAGAAGGAGGGGAGGGGGTGGCAGGTCCACCACCCCTTGCGAGGGGGTGGCAGGTCCCAGGCTGGGGGCTGCAGGTCCCAGGCTGGGGCTGTAGGGGTTGTACCCCACGTGGAGGGCTGGAAAAGGGGGGGGTCCCACGGGAGTGGCGGAGCAGATTGAGGGGCAGGAGGGGGACCCCCGCGGCGGGCCAGGCCTTACCTTCCTGAAGGCCTTATAGACGGTGGCGTAGGTGCCGGAGCCAAGGCGCTCGGTAAGGATGAACTGCGGTCCAGGCGCGGCGGGGCCCAGCCGGCCCCGGCCATGCCCCTCCGGGACCCGGCACACCGGGTGGCCGGGACCCGCTTCCGGCACTTCCGGGGGCGCACGGCCTGCGGGACACGCCCCCGGACACGCTCCCGACAGTGTCACCCACTGGCCACACCCCTCCCGGACAGTGTCACCCACTGGCCACACCCCTCCCGACAGTGTCACCCATTGTCCCCGCCCCGGGACAGTGTCAACCCACTGTCCTGGCACGCCCCGACAGGCTACCCACCGTCCCCGCCCCCGAACAGTGTCACCCACTGATCCTGGCCACGCCCGACAGTGTCACCCTCGTGTCCAACACCCCTCCCGACAGTGTCACCACTAGGTCACGCCCCGCCAGTTCACCCATGTCCCACCCCGGACAGTGTCACCCACTGTCCTGGCCTCGAGCAGTGTCATCCACTGTCCCACCCCTCCCGAACGTGTCACCCACTGTCGCCGCCTCACAGTGTTCAACCCACTGTCCCGGGCCTCGACAGTGGTCACCCACCGTCCCGCCCCCGCCCTGCCCCGCCCCACCTTGGCCGCACCCCCGCCCAAGCCACGGCCCGGCTTCCGCTCCAGGCCGCGACCCCCGCCCGCAGGCAGGAAGGGGCATCGTATCTGGACCACATATACATTTTATTATTAATAATTTTTTAAACATTAAAAGATCAGACGCGGGGAAAAAAAAATAATAATACAGGAGGGAAAGGGTGTAAAAAGGCTGATTTCTGGGTTCCAGCCCCCTCCGGCCCCACACCAGCACAGGATGGGGGTCTAACACAACCCCCATCCCGGGAAATGGGCATCACAAAGCCAAATCTGCATTAAAACCCCCTCCTCGATACCCAAGACACAGGGCTGAAGCAGGGAGCAGGGGGCATCTGCTGCCATCAACTCCCGTGCCTTACCCGTGTCCCAAGGGACATCCCATCTCGGGATGCAGCTGAACACACATGAAACCAGTTCCTTCCCAGCTGGAAAAAAAATTAAACTTGGGAGGAAGGAGGCAGGGAGGAGTCTTCCCTGGAGAAAGATTAATTCAAGGTTAGCTGGAGAAGGACGTTGCAGGCACCGTGTGGTGGCTGAACCAGTATCTTCAGAGCTCCTGCTGCTCTGAACTTAGAGCTGGGAGTTAAACCAAAATCTCTTTTTCCCCTCCCTCCCCTGGTTTCACAGAGAAGACTCAGTCCCCATTGATCCCTTCTCCTCCTCTCTGTGTCCAGAGCTGTCGCCTGCAGGATCCTTGTGGAAGCAATGGGTCTGCCACAGGGGGACAAGGAGAAATACATCCCTCCACACCGCTCCCAGATTTTCCTTCATGCCACGTTATCCCAACTCTCAGAAAGCCAAGCAGTTAACGAGGTCAAAATGCAGCATCGTGTGAGTGTAATAAACCAGAAATACAGTTTCTGTTCTTAAAATTAATGACAAACTACATGCACATTACAAAACCCCCCCAAAACATCAGATAATCAAATTCTTCGTAGCAAAGGCCAAGAGAAGAGAGAGTAAAATCAAAAACCTGCTTCCCCTTGTCTTCCTGCTACAGACAGAGCGAGGGGAGGAAGAGACAAACACCTGGTAGGTCCTGGATAGAGAAATATATTTACTTCAGAGAATGTCTCCCCCATCTCCCCACACCCTAAAATAAGACAGGGAAAACTAATCATCAAAACCGTAGCTCAGCTGAAGCTAAAAAAACCTCTTCTCATCAGGAGTCGGCATCACAGAGCTCACATGGTACCCCCAAAAAGTGCATTTTTAGGGAAAAAAAAAAAAAAGGAGTGGTAAGGGCAGAGAAAACAAGGGGGAGGCAGCCCGGGAAGGGCTAGTTTTGCTGGGAAGGGCTAGTTTCCCCGGAAAGCACTCTGTGCAGCTGAGGAGGCTGCCCCGGCCGCTGCATTCTGGAAGCTCCTGTTGCTGAGGATGCCTTGGGAAAACTCTTCCTGGGCCCTTTGGAAACTGGCTCCCGTGCGCCGATACAGGGAATGCACCTGGGAACAAAAGGAGAGGGAAAAAATTAATGGAGTCAGCGTGTAGCTGTGCAGTTGCTGCATACACCTTGCTTTTCCTCAGCTCTGCTACTAACCAGCTCCCTGGAGCCAGGGGCTCCACTGCTCCCAGCATGGGATGCTGCTGATTTCAGGAGACCCTCATTTGCTGTAAAATACGGAATGCTTAGCAAAATTGCTGGTTTCAGGCCCAAAACTACACTCCCCACACTGTAATGGCACAGACTTAACCCGGCATTTACTGGAGGGCAGGACCTGAAGGTGCCAACAAGCATCAGGTATTTCCTTCCAGATAAATGTAGGAGAAAAGAAGCAGCAGCAATAGAAACAGGAACAGTCCAGCCTGTCCTTGCCTATCCCAAACCTCCATTTCTGCTGTTCCTGCAGAAATCCAGTCCTGGTGTGGTCAGGCAGGAGAAGGAAGGAGGGTTGTGTTTAGAAGCCAGCATGAAGGCACTCAGTGGGATCCCACCAGGCTTTGAAAAGCCTCACAGCAGTGAGCAGTAATTTTAAGGCCTTGGATACTGAATAGAGTTATGGCCACCTCTGCTCAGCCAGGTCCAGGGGGGAATGGTTTTAAACTGAGAGCAGGTTTAGACTGTATATTAGGAAGAAATTCTTTTCTGTGAAGGTGGTGTGGTCCTGGCACAGGTTGTCCAGAGAAGCTCTGGCTGCCCCATCCCTGGAAGTGTCCAAGGCCAGGTTGGATGGGTCTTGGAGCAACCTGGTCTAGAGGAAGGTATCCCTGCCCATGAAAGGGAGTGGAACAAGATGAGCTGTAAGGCCCCTTCCAACTCAAACCATTCAGTGATTCTATGATTCTAAAGGGAGCCTACTTTCCTACCTCAAGTGTTCAAGAAATTTGGCATCGATGCAGGAAGCACAGGCAAAAATACTTTCGTATAAATCTCTTGACCTGCCAGTGCCCCGATTCCATCTTCATTCCCCGACAGGTGAAAGGAGGCAGAAAAACCAGGGTATCCTGGGAGCAGCCTGACTTCCTTGCCTCCCAGCCACTCACCTGCTTCAGGAGGAAGAGGGAGAGAACAGCACACAGCGTGAAGAACGCTGCCACCACCATCATGATAATGGCCACGGCCAGGTTCCTGCGCACCTCCGACAGCGCCGCGATCCACCCGCTGCGGGGAGAGGAGAGTGGGTGAGCATGGACAGCATTCCAGCACGAGATGAGAGGGAGCAGTGGAGGAAGAGGCACCCACTGTTGCACAAGAGCTTTAGGGGAAAGTTACAGGGAAGTACAAAACCAAACAGCTGTGAAAACAGGAACCCAGGGCTCATCCAGGCCCTCGTTTTGGGGGAGAGTTTCCGCTGTTATTTTTAGATAAGGATCGTGTTCATCCCACCCACATTCTAGTCCTGGATCACCTCGCTTAGGCAGGAAAATCAATACCCTTGGCGCCACCGGTGACTTCCACAAGCACCTTCTCAAAATTCAGCCAAGTGGGTAAAGATAGGCTGGAACAGCTAAATTGGAAGAGATCAGCTGGCAGGTCTGGAGCCTGGATGTATGTGTCACCCTGACAAGGATGTCAGCATTGGGAAGGGAACGAAGAGGAAGGAAAGGAAGAAGTTGGTGAGGCCCTGGCACAGAGTTCCCAGAGAAGCTGTGGCTGCCCCACCCCTGGAAGTGTGCAAGGCCAGCTGGATGGGGCTTAGAGCAACCTGGGATAGTGGGAGGTGTCCCATGGCAGGAGGGTGGAACGAGATGGGCTTTAAGGCTCCTTCCAACCCAAACCAGTCTGTGATTCCATGATTCTAAGTTAGAGCTACAGAAAGGAGGAAATTAGGAGTTGTTGAAGGGAAGGGGCAAAAAGGATGTTGGGAATTACCAGCGCTTGGCTGTGGGTGACAATACCAAGACACCTTACTCAAAAAACCCTCTTGGGTGCTGGAGAAAGGAATCATTCCAACTGCTAAACCAAACATGCCACGAGCCACTGGGAGAGTGGGAATCAAGTGAGCCAAACCATCCCATCTGATGTGCTGCACAGCTTCTCACTCGTCACAGGGAAGCAGAAAGGCACACCATGCACTGCAGCCAAAAATATACGAGCTGTCTGGCGGGAGGAAACGGAGCAGAAAGCTCCAGGCAGGCTCTCCCAGCCAGACTAAACCCGGAGTGCCCCCTCCCCATCCCCTGTGACTCAGGCAGAGGGGAGGGAGGCCGAGGACATCTCTGCCCACAAGCCCTTCTGCAGGCAGTGGGCAAAAATAGACAGCAGCTTCACTGCTCACCTGAAGGCTTTCCCTCAGAACAACCACGAGCTGTTAACCTTTTCCCTGTTCTCCGTAACTCCAGAATCTGATCTGTGGCCAAGGCAGCAAGGCGAAAGGAAAGGCTGTGCTTTCCCTGCAGGGCACAGCTGCTGACACGAGGCTGCTGGACCTGCTCCAGAAGCCTGGGCTCACCCTTCTGTACAATGTCACTGAGAAAGGGTGAGGGCAAAACTCTCTCTGCTTGTTTTTTTGAAGCACTGCCCAATGGCAACACGCTCCAGAGAAACTCAGGAAGAGTTTGGGGACAGAGTCAGGCTGGCAGCAGCAGCATCAAGCTAAGCTGCACCCAGATTCCAGGTCAGAGATCCCTCAGCCCCACACCACCTCTCTCAGGGCAGGCTCCAGTTTAACACAAGGCAGACACAGTCAACACTATAGGTTCAGCATCAAGAAGGAGCAAATATGATCTGTATTAAGTTAGGGAGAAGGTAGCAGAAGGGGCATGGAAGAGTTATCACAGAATCCCAGAATGGTCTGGCTTGGAAGGGACCTTAAACCCCATCACATTCCACCCACCCTGCCACGGACAGGGACACCTTCCAACAGCCCAGATTGCTCCAAGCCCCACTGAACCTGGCCTTCAACACTTCCAGGGATGGCGCAGCCACAGCTTTTCTGGACAACCTGTGCCAGGGCCTCACCACTCCCACAGGGAAGAATTTCTTCCCAATATCTAATTATTCCCACACTGCCCTCAGCGCTGGCCACAGCAGCAGCAGCAAAGGAATACACTTTTGCTGTGACTAGGATGGAAAGAGCAGAGCAGGGAGGCAGCCCAGCTGGGACCTGCCAAAGCTGCGCAAGGGCTGAGAGAGGAAAACCATGGGAGAAAGAACAGGCAGCTGTCAGAAACAAGCCCCAGAGCTCCTGACAGTCACAGCCCTGGTGAGAAAAAGGATCTGTGCAAGGCTGGGATGCAGCAGCCAGTGAAACCGAGCTTACCTGTCTCCCCAGCCAGGAATGCCAACAGCCTGGATGACGTAGATTGCTATTTGGCAGAAGAAGACAAAAAAGAAGACGAAGAAGCTGAAGGAGCTGTCAGACCTGCGGGAGAGATGGCAGCAGGAGTGAGACCCATGATCCCTGCACAGACTCCCTGCTCTAAGAGAAAGGGAACAATTTCAGTGAACTCCTTTCTCCAGGGAAAAGCTGTTGAGGGGAGGAATTTGGGTACCCATACAACTTATGTGCCTACTGCAAATCCAATGCTCTGCCCAGTGCAAGATAAAGTGAAGGCAGCTCCCTTAATACATGCAGTGTGCTCAACATTAATGTACCAAACAGTGTCTCAGAAATCAGTAAAATGAATAAAAAAAATTAACTAAAAACCCCAGATGACTGGCTGGGCTTGGATTTCAAGATGAAAAAGGATCACCATAATTAAGTTGTATCAGATAGATCTAATATGCTTAGAAACATAGTGAGTTTGATTCATCTAATGATGCAAAGAGCTGGAAAAATCCTGCAGGCAAAATACGATGGGAAAACAGATAAACCCAAAGCTCCTCCCACTAAAAGATACATCCCCTTTACAGAAAAAAAAACCAAAAACAACAGTACTTGCCTGAAAGCCTTGTAAATTGGTCGGTACCAACAGAGAAAGGCACAAGGGGTGAATAAAATTAACCAAAGAATCGAGAGACCAAAGTCTACGCCTCTGCCATCATCAGTTGTGAACCACGCCAGACAAGCGAGCAGGTTTAGGAGCAGGGTAATGGAATGCACTGTTTGGGGTGGAAGAGAGAGAAAAAAACATCAGTAAGCTCTTGGAAAACCCGCAGCATCCCTAATCTCTCACTGAACACACTGAGCGCTGCAGAAATTAAGGAGACTCCGGGCCATCTAATTTCACTGCCTCCCTTGGAAGGAAAGCACAGCTTAACCTAAAAGCTCATCTGATCCTGCTGCTAATGGCCAAATCTTAAATAGTTGTTCAAGTCTCCATTAAACAATTAAAATTCTGTCATGAATAAGCTACTCCCAAAGCATAAACTTGGAGTTCTTCACATTTGCCTTCCTAAAAAAGGAGGGAAACATGACTTTACCCTTGCAGACAACACTGATGGGATTTACTGTGTGACAAAGCTCAGCTTTTGATACAGAACCTTCTTAGAAAGATTTTTTTTACTGCAGTTCAAGCCATTACTTACACATCCACAAGTAATACAGCATCTTGCATATCCGCTGGTAGTCAGCTGGGATGTCTGCAGAAAAATCCTGATAAAAACACGGCTTGATGGGACACTTCTTGGGAAGGGGTGGCCAGTTGTTCTGCCTCGCTGTGGAAGAAAGAAAGAAGCAGCTCTTCACTTGCTCTTCTCTCTCTTAATTGAAAGACTAATTCACACACCATAATTTCCAAGTAGCCATTCAGATATTGTTTAATTCATACATTAAAACCTTGGGAGAGCCCAGAGGTTGGTCAGAACCTATGTTTGAGCAGGCGGCACAACAGGAACGTGATAAACTGCTGGCAGAGCAAGGCAGACAAACCTAGATTGGGGGGTTTCCTCTGGGGAAGGCAGAATTCCCCTGCAGTGGCCAAAGGGCCATCACAAGCATCATCACTCAGCTCTGCAAGTCCAGATTCAGTCATTTAAACCCAAGATTAGGGGGGAATATTGGTTTACTGTGCTTAAAAAAGCCTCAAGAATGAAAAGAAAGCTCTGTTGCTCTCAATGAAGAGCCTTAACGTGGCAACAGCTCCAACACAGGTACAAAATTGGTGTCTGAGAACTTTTTGTGGTGAAATGCAGCTGCTGAGAGCACACTCAAGGGCAGGGACCCATCAGAGCTGGCCCTGCCTCTGAGCTCCTTTCTCATCTTGGAGGCTACAGGATGACAGGTACAGTCACAGGAGGGTTGCCACAGCTAGTGAAGGACTAGAGGAAAGCCTAAAAAATGCTTCTAGAAGAGCTGTGTACACTTGGACAGGCTGAGCTTTCCTGAAATCCTGACAAACCAAGGAACCCAGCCTTCCCTGGGCATCCCAGTGACAGCAGGCAGGACGCAGTACTCACGGTTAATGCTGGCTGAGTTGCTCTGCAGTTCCCTTTCCTTCTTCTCCAGCTCAGCTGCCTTCCTCTCTAACTCTGCCTGCTGCTGAAGCAGCCCGGCCTGTGCTGCCGCGGCCACGGCCTAAAGCAGGGGAGAAAGAGGTTAGTCCTGCCCTAAGCCAGGCACTTATGGCACCACCAGCAAACACACCAAACTGGAAGGGAAGCAGGGCAGAGGACAACATGAAAGCTCAATCTTAAATGTCTTAACTCTTTCTGCCTTACCCGCTGAAAGACAAAATCAAGATCGATGCAGAACTCCCTTTCTTATCCCTATCCTTATCCTACAGGAAGATAGAGCTGGAAGAGCCCTCAGGGGGCTTATCCTCAGGGGGCTTATCCACTCCATTCTCCATCCCCTGTGCCTTTCCCTTTCACCGAAGCTATGCTTTTCTCACAGCTTCATCTACCTCACAGTTCACTTCATTGCTCCGAGCACCTCACAGCTGAGCAGTGAGCAGGACTCCTGGGCTTAGCAGGACAATTCCCTGCCCAGCTATGAGAAGAAAGGCAAGACAGCTGGCTACCACACCTCTTAAGGACCGCTTCTACTTGTTTTATATTCTGAGAACTGATCCTTTCTCCCAGCAGCCTCAGCCTCTCAGCTCTCTGGATGAGGTGGTCCTGGCAGTCAGGTACTTGCATTTATGCTCCTGGCACTGAGCATGTCTGACCAGACACTAGAACTAAGCTGAAAACATTAGCAGGATACATTCCACAGTTTCCAGAGGGAAGTCAGAGCCAACAGGACACAAGGCAAAGCAAGCTTTGCCACCAGAGGGACAGGGAAAAAGGCATAAAAAGAACTGCGTGTGTGCATTCCCCGTAAATCTCTGCTTCCCAAATGGAACTTGAAAAGATCACCTGCAGCTTCCCAAACACAACCCCAGAGAATCCCATTCCCCTCCTATTCCCAGAGGCCTCTGGGAGCTCCTGGGGGCCGGGGAGGCAGTGGTGAGGAGCTGCCATACCTGGGGCGTGGGCTCCACGGACGTCTGCAGAACAGCCGGCTGCGAGTGGCCCGAGGGCTGCACGGCCGGCGTCGTCCGGGCTGCATTTGTCTGCACAGAAATCAACAAGCAACAAGGTAAAAACATTGCAGGAGAAGCAAAAAAGGATTTTGATCCATTTAAACCAATCTAAATCTTGGTTTCCCCTTCGCCCATCTAGCTCATGGCAGCAGCCAGGGAATAAGAACGCAGCTCTCCCAGTGATCCATCAATGGTATTGTCATGGCAGTTCAGTTCCCAACCCAGGAACCAAATACATCCTGATGTGTCCTGCCACAAACCATCTTCCCCTTCACACTTCATATGGCTTCCCTGTGAGTCAGCAGCCAGCTGGAGAGAAGCTGTTCCACGTGAGTGGAGAGCTCCAGTTGGGAGTTTATTAGTGGTCTAGTGCAGGAACAGTTCCTTGCAGCTTGCCACACGCGCCATGAGCTACATTCCATGAGGAAATCAGCTGTGAATTCCTCTTTTCTTAAATTGCACCTACCAAGGGACCTTCTACACCACTAAAACCACCACAAGACACACAGAGCACAGACACGTAGCACATACCAGCTGGGAGCTCTCGGAAAAGGGGTTGAATTCATCCAAGCCACTTTGGCTGGTGTTTGTGAGCTGTGTCACTGAGGGATCCTGAAGGGAGAGAGCACAAGGATCAATCAGCATCAGATATAGGGCAACATCACTTATATCATCAAATTGTTCAGGTTGGAAAAGGCCTTTAAGATCATCGAGTCCACGTTGCCCATGCTGCCGCTCTTCCATCTGCTCACTGGCTGGGAATTGGATGGGGTGAAACACAGGTTTGCCACAGGTGGATGGCCTTGGCAGGCATGGAATTTAAATATCCAAGGAGATGACTATCAGCAAGGCAAGATTTGTGGGCAGAAATAAACTCCTGTTCAGCCAAGAACAACTACAACATGCTTCTGGTACAGGAACCCTTTGTGCAGGTTACTACCGCTTACCTACAGAAAGTTATTTCTAATTTCCAGGGATCTGCATTCATTTATCCATGGTCAGAATGCTGCTGGACATCCAGGACCACCTCCCAAACCTCACCTGCACCTCATAAAGCAAGCACAGAGCCACAAAGTACAGCAGAGCTACAGAAAATGAGGTTCTAGATACCACTGGTCCTGACTGACAGATGTCAGCAACCTCAAATGCCAACGATTGCTCTGAAAAGGCAAAACTCCCAGGAAAATCAAGCTGGAGATGTGACACCAATTATTTTAGGAGGTTTTAATGCTGCTGGCATAACATCTGTGTTCACTTTTACTCACAGCATCTCCCACTTGCCTCCATCAAATCTTCTGATATTTAAAAACAGCCTCTCTGCACATCTGAGAACAACTTTCTCCCCTCACCTGCAATGCCTGCAGCTATTTTTATCTCCTCTTTTCTACACACTACATTCCAAACAGAGATTCCTCTTTGACAGCCACATGTTGACCTCTGGAGTGCTCCTCTCCCCAGTTACTACAGAAACAAGGTCCTTTTTAAAACTCGGAAATCCTCCTGCCTGGCAACCCAAGAGCTGGGTGTGGGTCAAAAAATTAAAAAGTGGCTTTGTATCCCTCCCTCAGCAACTCGTGTGCCCAGATCAGTCATTCCAATTTGGTGCTCAATGCGGCGAGAAGCCACTGAGGCTGCGCCGAGGTGAGAGTGAGAGGTGCAGGCTGCAGGAAAATCCCTCTGGAGCCATTCCCGGGGTTTTAGCGCAGCCTTCTGCCGAGCAGGATACACACAGAGCAGTTAATGAGTAACTCCTCCTCGACAGCAGGCACTCCCTACCAACAGGTTGCACTAGTTTATGAATCACCCTGGCTGAGGGATCGCAGACGAGGAGGATTTGAATGCTGCTCGGCGAAGCACAACTCACCAGCAAGAAAGGGCTGTGAAAAATAGGAAGCACCAGCAGAACTGCCATGCTGGAAATAAAACTTGTGCCTTTATTTCGCTACTGACTCCTCTGGAAGCTTCAGCTTCACCAGTTTTGCACAGACACGGGCTGTCAGCACAAGTTTACACGTCACTTAATGCACAATAGCTGCTGCACACCAGCATAAACCCTTTAATCCCAAGCAGATGAGGCCCCAGTCGCACTAAAGTCCAGCAAAAAACTACAAGAGGAAGAGAAACTCCCTTAAAGGCATGGGGAGCGGAAAGTGAAGACTGCATAACCCTCTGAAGAGCCTGAATGGTCAGGCTGGGTTGAAAGCGCTCAGAAATAAGGAGAAATGCTACAGTACCACAGTAAAACACACATTTTTCTCCTCTTGGCTCATGTCCATTCCAAAAGAAAGCTGGAGGCTCATCAAGGGCAGGAGAGCAGCACCCCTGCTTCTCTGCTCCCAGCTGCACAACAGTTTGATTTCAAAGGCAGACAAGCTCTCATCCTACTGCACAGCTTTAAAAAAAAATCACTTAATTAGGTGGTAAGGCCAAGGCACAGCCTGCCATTGTTCGCGTGTGTCTAAAATAGAAACCCAAAGAGCAGGGAATTCGCAACAAAGCTGAAGTTTTTGGTCACGTGCCTCTGTGCCCTGGATAGGGCAGGAAGGAAAACAGAGGGTGACACACAGACACCAGCTTCCACGAGCTCAGACCAGGCAGCGTGAAGGATGAGTAAGCACCAGGAACGCAGAGACGAACGAGACGCTGCCCACAAACTTCATGTCTTACAATTATTTCCTTGTAAGCTACGCAGCAAAAGGCAGCTGACCCTCTTGAAACAAGCACAGGCCTGATCCTCGGAAAGGATCAGGAAACAGAGTCTTAATTCAGCCACAGAACCACTCCAAGCCACAATTCAGCCACAAACCTCACGTTCACAAATCAGTGATTGGCTTGATCTGCAGGATGCCAGTGAGCAGATCCCATCTGCTGCCCTTCCAACCACCACTTCAAGCTCCAGGAACCTGTGACATCATTTTTCACGGCTTCAAATGCCCAAGTGCAGAATAAATTTTTGTTTGGACCAAACTACACTGACATGAAGATTAAAATAATTTTCAAATGCAGCTTAACACAAATACGAGTTGCTGTCGTGCTGTGCCAGCTGCTAAAATGTTTTGATACAATAGGTCTGTGCAGGAAATTCTATTCTTTCATTTCTTTTTCTTCCCACAGATTAAAGAAACAAAATGAGATGACTCTCTTGACGAGATCAAGGCAAAATAACTCGGCTGAGAATCACCTGGAACTTTACATGGTCGTCTAAATATCACAGTATTGCCCCAAATATCACCAGTCCTGCGGACTCAGAGTGCTGCCACTGCCTGAAAGATGCACTGAGAGAAACCCCAAGGATTTTATTATTGATATCTCTAAAAAGAATGGAGATTTCCAGCTCTACCTGAAGCTTGGACCAAAGTTTTGGAGACAGCTGCCACTTCTAGCAGGTTACTGGATAAACCAAGGCAGTTAATCATCTCTCATTAACCAGTTGCAATAAGTAACAGAAAAGCCAGAGGTATTTTTAACAGGACCAAAGCAGCCTATTTATACCAAGTTTAACAAACACTGTGAACAAACTCTTGAAAGGCAAAGATCCTCATCCTGTCAGTATTTGAAGAGTATGAAGCATTACACTGGGATCCCCAGCAAGGAAAGAGAACCCTGGTGCTGTGACAAGAGAGACCCACCAGTGTGAGAGGACTGGGAGGGTGCAGATGCTTCTACTCATTCCAGTGTGTGTGGAAGGGGATGTCAATGAGCAACTGTTTCCCCAGCACTGAGCCAACACCTGGATCCAAGCCCCGACCTGGAATGGGCTGTCCTACATCCTGAGATTTCATTTCAAATCAGAGTGACAAGGCTTTGAGGCTCCAGGAAGCAGCACCTGGAGATTCCTTGCAACCAGCTGCTGAGGACTAGGGAATTTTTCTTTATGAAAGTCCTGAAAGGAGGATATAGAACCTGCCACATAGACCAGATGAGCTGCAAAGAGCCGTCAGACAGGAGCATCCATGGTGTTACTTCCCATTAAAACATGGGCCTGACACGGGAATTACCTGCTGGAGATCACATCCAACCTTTTTTGTTTGAACAGGGAATAAAGTGTGAGCACAGCCCTGTTCAGTTCGAGATTAGGACAGCTTTAATGTACACAAAGCAGGTGAAAGGGACCTGAAGTGAGCTGACAAGAAAGCTGGAGAGGGACTTTTTACAATGGCATGGAGTGACAGGGCAAGTGGGAATAGCTTCAAACTGACAGAGAGTGGGATTAGATTTGATATTAGGAGATTCTTCCCTGTGATGGTGATGAGGTTGCCCAGAGAAGCTGTGGCTGTCCCATCCCTGGAAGTGTCCAAGGCCGGGTTAGACTGAGCTTGGACCAACCTGGGATAATGGAAGGTGTCCCTGCCCATGGTGGAGGTTGGAACGAGATGAGCTTTAAGGTCCCTTCCAACCCAAAACATTCTGTGATTCTATGAATATTGACTTCCTCAATATGCAAAAACAACAAATCCCGACATGAACAGCGACATATTCCACCCCGTGGAAGGAATATCACAGGAACACGGTTATCCCAACCCTTCCCATTCATGAGACTCACAAAAGCGTGTTAAAATGAAAGTGAGGAAGAAAAGGATTTTTTCACTCTGATTCCTCAAAGCACTCAGCCTCCTGAACAAACAGTTTCCGTTTGGCTTGGCCCTGAAATCTGAGGTCAGGAATCATTCCTTTCTGTGGATCACATCTCAGCCAAGAGTAAAGGTGAGGTTAAGCTCACAGACAGGAGCCAAAGGCCAGACACTGATTTTCGCACACCCCTGCACAGGCTCCAGGTCCCAGAGGCCATTCCAGGCCAACTCCCTGCATAAGTGACCCATTTTCAGAGCATGGAGGTTAACTCAGAGAGGAGAAACTCAGTGAACACAGATCAAGTCCTCAGTGACCTCAACAGAAATCCCATGCTTTGGACCCTGAAAACCTCAGCCAAAGGATGCCTTAGGGGCTCACTGTTTAGAGCTGAAGCACCTCAAAAATAGACCCAGACAGCCAGACCACCAGGCAGCACACCCAAGAGAGGTTCAGCAACTGATTGTTTTTAATAAGCCCACAAATTAGGCATTCGTGGCTGTTTTGGCATCCTGAGAGGCAGCAAACCCCCTCTCCACAGCCTGGGGGAGTGGGGGGCGAGCGGGTCTGGCAGCACAGGGCGGTAGGGGACTCCTCTTTGAGGAGACGAGCAGCCCGGTCCGGGGGAGAGACAGGGGCTGAGGAAGGGGCGGTAGGAAGGATCCCAGCGGCAGCAGGAAGGATCCCAGCGGCGGTGCGCAGAACCGGGGGGACCCCAGGTGGGTCACAGCGCTCCTGCGTGACCTGCAGGGGACTGGGGAGCGGGTGTGGGACCCCCAGCCCTGGCTGTGCAGGGGACACGGCGATGGGGAGCAGGACCTCCAGCCCCGCCCTGGTAGAGGGGGTACAGCGCAGGGGAGCGGGCCGCCTTGTCTGCGGAAAGAGAGGCTCGGACGCCCCTGTCGCCGGCTGGATGGGGGATGGGGAAGGGAGAGGAGAACCGGCCAGAGGGGGATGTAGGGAGGGGGGAAGCGGGACCCGTGGTACCAATCGGGTTCCAGGGGAGGGAAAGAGGACCCCGGCCGGCCGGAGGTGGGTCGGAGGCTGCGGCGCAGACGCCGCTGCAGGGCGCGGGG